AAATTTTTTAAATAATAATTCATAAATTGCAAACTTCATTTTCTTTAAGTAATTGAAGCTCTTTCTTCTATGGAACTTTAATTGTTTTAGAAAATATCTTTTAAGATGTTTCATCATCAGGGATTTTCACAACTCATGAAAAAAGTTTCCAGTTAGATAATATTCAGACAATAGCTAATAGCTGATATAATAATAGAATGTTGTTGTATATGATTGCTTATTACACGCCTCCCTGTATTTGATAACAACACTTAAGCAGAGAAATCGAATTCGTCAGAAAGGCAATGTCCTACCAAAGGGGTTCTCAAGGGGTGCTAAGGGCAATGGCTGCAACACTTCTCTCCTATTGTTGTCATTTATAAAATTTCAAAATTAAAAATACTTCAAACTTGGAGAAGAGCTGATAAATTTATAAAAAATCCAACCCTTCTTCAGTACTGGATCAACTCTAGCTCAAATTCTTTCATAATAATTATGACAGTTTATCAATCTATTTTAATGATTTATGAAATTCTAAATACTCCAGAATTGGAGACGAATAAAGAATTTTATTAAATAATCCACCCTTCAGTAGCCTAATAGATCAACTCCAGCTCAAATTGTTTCATAAAAGTAAAGGTTTTTAAAAGTAAAGACTATTTTTGTGATTTATAAAATTTCAAATGCCTAAATGTTAGAGAATAGTCGCAAATTTTATAAAATATCACGCCCTTCTTCAATAGTGGATCAACTCCAGCTCAAATTATCTTCATAAAAATGATGAATAAATTTGTTATCAATACATTTTTATGATTATTATAATTTATTTTTAAGATATTTTAAGCTTATTAAAGATATTATCATTACTTATACGACCTTGAAAGCTGTTAAACTAATTCTGAAACAACGACATTATAGTAAACAACGGGTACAAAAAGTTGATGAAAGACAATTAATGCTATCCTGAGGGTATTTTTTGGACATGTTGCCGAGACATTGTGCCTCACCCAAGACACTCCCAAACTAGAAGATCATAAGTCATACATTGGTTCCAGTTAGTTGACTATACTGTTCGAAAGCCTTTGGCTACTCCTGACCTGCTCTTAGTTAAATGATAGTTGTCGATGACAACTAAGTATCATCGGTCATTTGTTTTTGATGCAGTAGCTATATGCCTATGAGGTAAACTTTTCAACGATGCAGAGCGATCATTAAATATTTTGTGGTTTTTTTAAGTCTTCCCAACATAAATCTCTTTTAAGAAGAGATAACAAGCTTTAGAAAGATTCACACCGTATCTTTAGTTGAATTTTTTGATAAAGATTACATGTCCAACTTTCTTATAAATCTAAATCATTATACGGAATGCTAAATTGTATTGTTAGTATGTAAAAAAATACGAAATGTTGACTAAAAATTCCAATTTAAAAGATGTAATTGCCACTTCTAGTGTATGGATACCATAGTTAATTCATTTGAACCTTCAAGAGAAGTGTTACCAAAAAGGCGTGTTGTCTTACGTGAAGACATAGAGAAACGTGTTGCTACACTGATTTTATTAGCTTACTATTAAGGTTTTTAGCAGTCTATTGCCGAGTTTCCTAAGCGGTAGATCACGTTCTTCAGCTATATATTTGATAATTTGGTGTTCTTGTAATACCCCAAACAAGTAAAAAATGCTTGTAAAAAACCTAACAAAGTTAAATCAGTATGCTTAACATTTTCTCTTCTTATCATTACAAATCGAGCCAATTTTCGTTTGACAATATTTATCACAGAGGATAACAAAAAACCTATCGACAAACTGTCAATCTCTACCAATTTCGATGCCACAAATCGCAACTGATTTAACAAGGTGCACTCACGTCAAGTCAAGGTTTCTCGAGTTTTCAATTCGACACCAGCATTAGAGAAATCATTAACAGACGAAAATATTATTCAACACCCTTTAGGCAGGACCAAAAAAAAGTAAAAAGAAATTGTTGAAACATCCTACTCCATACGAAATGCATCAAGGTATTAAAAGTAAGGCAGTGCGTTTGTAATTAGGAACTAGCCGCCCGTGCTGATTTGTTACACCTCTTTAATTGCTTGGGACAGTCACGTGCAGAGAATATAGTGTCTAGTATTGATTACAGGCTGTGGATGTGTTGATGACGTATTTCAACCACCGTGTATTATAGTTTATCTTCTTGCAATGGTGTAAATTGTGGTCCTACTTGTTGAAGACGAGATCGGTATCAAGGTCACCAAGCTTTGTGTGCTAATGGGCCATAACAATGAATTCCAAAACAAATTTTGGTACCGTCTTCTCGACTACAAGCAAGAATATCATAAAAATTTCCATTTGGAGTACAATATTGATGAATATTTCCCCGAAAACAACTCTATAATCTCTCTATTGACCCGTTGCGGGAGGTCTAGAAAGGTCAACGTGACATAGAATGTCTGTAGTAAGTTATTAAGGTCAACAGAGGTACGAGAAGAAATTTTTAGATTTTCTCGTATAATTAATAACTCCATGAAACTTCACTAACGTGTATGCTCTGCACGTGTTAAGATTTTAAAAATTAATCCTCGTAATTTTGTCATTAAAGGGGTGATGATAATTTTATCATTAAATACTTTCTTTCTCTTATTTCTCAATTGTTGTAAATTTCGTATATTGATACCTGGATCATGACAGGTATCAATTATGACACAGTTCACGATAACCATGATTGGTAACAATGACGTATCGTCATGTAAATCCCTCAGGCTTATACTTCCATTGGGGTAATGAAGATAATTTTTGAAGGTGCAAGTATGAATCCAGGTCAAGAAAAAAATTACCTTTAATAATTCTAGGTTTTAAATTGACTAAAATAATAATAAACGATGAAGGTCGTGATTATATGTTAATGGTACACGAAATTCATTAGTGATCGTTGCATGATTGTGAATATTGTTATTTCAGCGCATTGTTGAGTAGCATACGATAAGTTGTCCCTCACTTAATCAGTTTCCACTTAGTGTAAGCAATATTTACACTCAGTTGACCATCAAATCAGTGGGTTCACGGAACATCAACCAAGTGGAACACCTTCATTCAGCTGAACCCATTGATGTAACTGATGATTATATTGTTAATATCATCAAAGATAATTGTATAAGCGCACAGATTTCTGAAAAATTCTGAATATTTGGCTCTAAAAACATCTAAAAACATAAATATTACTAGTTTTTATGCCCCGGAGATCTGAATGGTATCATAAATCAGTGAAAGCAGACAAGGTATTTTCAGTTACATCTTATTCATTTTCTTGAGGCTAAACGTCAAATAATGTTGTTTAAAAAGATCAAAGGTGAACAGAAATTGAATTGTAGAAGAATAATTCAGTTCTTGGAGAGTATCATTATCTAAAAATCTCGAAATGTCTCACGAAAGTTCTGAACTAATTTGTCGGTACGTCGTTGTGACAAAAAACCCCAACGTGTGACTTACAACGTAAGCTATTGAAAACAACGTGGAGGGTCTGAGATCCTCCTTCATTATCTAAGAATTGTCCACACTGTTTCGGCCTCGTACATTGTCTGAAAGGAAAAATCGACTGTCAGATTACTTTATAGAATGTATCTTTTCTAAGAACATCCCTAGAGCTTTCTAATGTCTAAGTGTCATTAATTGTACTATTCACAATTGATGATACGTAACCTTACAGGAGGTAATTTTTTGGAGAATTATTTTTGCGCACGAGAAGGGTTGAGCTTCAAAAAATATATACACGAAGAAGTACACTATTTTAGGTTAGGTAACTGTCTTTTTTCTTCTGAGAAATTCCTCATATGTATGCAAAAACACGCGCTTTTTAGATGATACCTTTAGAAAGTGTGATGAATTATTCATAAACTTTTAAATGGGCTTAATGAGAATATATTAATTAATTATAAAAAGGCCCCTCTCACCTTGGACTGTGCCTTCATAAATAGGGTAATGGAACTTGTTCATTGGATTTCTAGGTGAAACTTAGTCTAGGATTTTTTTGAAAGTTATAAATAATCAAAAATTTATGAAGCTTATCAATTAAGTTGTTTTTTTTTTTATTTATGCTTTTGATGGTTATAAATGCTAGACTGTGGTAACATTATCATTTTTTTTCCTGCAATTTTAAGCAAAAAAAAAAGTATAGGCTAACTTTTTTTGCAGTTTGTACNATAAAAAATTGAATAAAAACGGTATAATTTGAATTATTAGAAAAATGTATTTAATTCATATTTGAATCAAAAAATTTCTAAAAGTTTAAAATTAAAAAAAAAAAACATTTTACTCTCTGATAAATTATCTCATCAAATATGCATGTAAGTTCAGAAATATTTGACAATCAATCAATTTATTCCTTTCCCAAGAGATGATTATTTTTTGAAGACAGAATTTTTTAGAATTTTAAATGTTTTCTAGTAAATTAGCACAAAATCCTATCATTTCATTAAATAATTTTTAAGCTAATCTAAAAAAACCAACTTCTTTGATTTCTCTTTATTTGTTTAAGACTGCCTTATAGGGGGAAAGTGATGAATTTGTATACAAACTCTCAACCTAATGAACATGATGTCCAAGGGAGAGATATTGTTCACAGCGTGTGTTCATTCTATGTGTGTGTTCTCAACCTATTGATTCTCATGGTAGTGCCTCACGATCTCGTGGAGCGCTGTCCAACCCCAGTGTCGCCTGCTGGGATTGGATAATCTCTTCTCAAAGTGTTACCTCTTATTCACTACCCTCCACCCATCGATGACGTAATTTTATATCCTACATCTAGCATTATAAGTGTATATCAACGCACGAAGCTCATGTTCTACGTTATCACTCCAAAAGAAACAAACTTGAATATTATGGAATGATTATGATAAGAATCCAATTGACTTTTTAATAAAATGACAAAAATTTTATGTAAATTCTAATCTATGTGCAATATTTATTGTCACTGAAGTACAATTGATAAGTGACATAACATATACAACATAATCAACTTGTACAATTATAATTTTTTTTGTGTTTCTCACGTACATATACATAGATATATTTCTTGATAAGAAAATTCATTGAGTATTTAATTTTATCGTCGATAATGATGATAATTTACAAGTTTGTTTAGTTACTTTATCACAATTAACGTCGTCCCTAAGAAAGTGGATGGTGCTTCACTGCAGTATCGCTAAGCTTTGCTGTGAAAGTATCAATGAATGGGACTTTGCTCTTCGTGCTTTCTGTTTTCTATAAATTTTTTTATATATTTATAAATTTTTTGTAGTTTTAAATTGATAAAGAATAGTCGAATATAGTCCATTTTTTGTTTGATTTGATACAGATGAACGTCGTTTAACTGGACAGACCACCACTGTAATCATCATAAAATGGTAAGTAGTCGCTATAGCTGTCTTGTTCACATGACTGTAAGCGTAAAAGTATAGGAATTATTATAAATTTCTTGATTGTATTACAATTTTTAATTAAAATATTTATTAAGTATATTAAATTATCTTTTATATCATTTTAATTTGATAAAAAAAAAAGTATAATTTACATCATACGTTATAGTTTTAATCATTTAAGTTAAAATTTCGTAAATTTCTAATACATTTTAGTTTAAATCACAGATTTAACTTTTTAAAAGTAAAATATCTTTAATATCTACATTCAAATATTTCATAATTGAGAGAGTTTTAGAATAGGATAGAATTAAGATGTTTATCCAAGTCTTGGAGATTAAAATTGAATTTTCTGAAATTTATTATATAAAATAAGTAGAAAATGTGATAAATTTTAATTTTCAAATGGTAATTTATACAATATAAAAATTTTTCTAGAGATATTATCAAAATAAACTAGAATATAAAGCAGAGAATCCAAGTTATCAAGAGGTAAGAATTAATAGATTTGTATAAAGTTTGCCAGCATTATAAGTAAAAAATATATAAATCCTAACACTAGAATTTAATATTTATCATATAAATCCTAATTCCAGAGCTAGAATATAGAATTTATAGGCCTATATCTAACAGTTTTAGTTGATTTGTTTGGATGCTCAGATCATATTTAGAGGATCATCGCACATTTGATTTTGAACAAANAATTAAAGATAATTTTAATTATATATTTCTATCTATCTTTACATCATAAACATACATATTATTATAAATTATTGATACTTGAATTAAATTTATAATAATTTATGTTTTTAGATGATGTTTTTTGAATGGTATTATATATATTAAACTTCACATTCAATTTAATTATCAATGAATTAGAAAATTGGACAGGTCTGTGACAAACTCTTTAAAGATTCATCAATGAATAAATTATTATACGCTTGGGAAAAATCTAAATAAATACATTTAAATTAAATGGATCCCTTAGGCCATATACAAAAACATGAAATTGAATATACTCGAAATTTAATTATAAAATTTTTTAGATTTTTTTGATTACATTAAAGATTTTTAGAAATTATCCAAAATTTTTTTAGTTTACTTAGAATATTTTAATAAATATTATCACAATAATTTTGGATATTATTGTAAAACAATAACAAAAAAATATTCTTTAAAAATCACAATATTTTAAAAGAATACAAATATTTTTTAGAAGCTGGGAAACTAAAAATAGCTTCAAAATATTGGTAATTTTAAGACAAAATAGTTTAATTAATTTTTTAACAAAAAGATTGCAGTTTTATTTGGAAAATATAACATTTTTTGGAAACGTAATAAATTAAAAAACATAAAGAATTGTAATATTTTGAAAGAATTGAAGCTGCTTAAAAGTTTAGGAACTGATAAATTAGCTCCAGGAAATTGTTGGAAATTTCGACAGAAATTATATTTTTAAACAACATATCAGAAATATTGTGTTTTTAGATAAAATATATAACAATATCTCCAATAAAACAATTTTCAATTTACTAATGACCTATAATTGATCGTTATCGATCGAATTATGGAGAAGTGTTTTTTTAGATTCAATATAAGCCCCATAATAGAAATGCAGGATATTTTCAGAGATTTAGAAAAGAAACTCACCGATTCTAACGTTATCCATCTCTGTCCAACTTGGTTTTCCTTATTTACAGCATTTACATCAGTTTCCAGATAACTGTTGTAACTCCTTAAACTATCGCCATTAGCAACTTCAGTGGATAGATCATCATCAGCTTGTGATAACATATCCTGCAAGGCATTTATATATTCTATAGCTCTGTGCAGTGTTTTAACTTTAGACAACCTTTTGTTTCTATTTTCAATGGGTACAGACTTCCTTAAACGAGCGAAAGCATTATTCACAGCTTGAACCCTTCTTCTTTCTCTTGCGTTTCTTCTAGCTACAAGATGAGGCGGTTTTTCTCGATGAGGTATGTGTTTATAGGTCGATTTGGTGTTTACTTTTCTACATTGTTTCTTCCTCTCCGATTGTGGTTGAGAACCCGTTTCGGAATTGTAAGTTAAAACGGATCCTTCCATAGGATAAGACTGTCCTTGATTCCACGACATGCTGTGAGGTAGTACAGATTGGGCATATAGACACGAGCCGAATTCTTCGCTAGAAGACACTTGAGACATCATTACCTTTCTCACCACATCGTCAAAAAACATGCACTTTATACGCCCAGTTCAGGCAACTATCTGAGAACAGGCGGTGCCGAAACTCTTCCTGCACGTGGCAAGCCATCTCTCGTTGGCCAATCAGACGACGCTCGGATCTCATTGGCAATTCTCGAGAATTACTCACTCCATTAATTTTGAGTGAGGTTGGCACGCGCTGAGATTGGACACTCTCCCTGTGACACGTGCTGTTTGTATAATTGGATAATAACGTTTTGTTAAAGACCGAAATCCTTCGTTGTGCTCTGAAAGACATTTAAATTCTCTTAGGTGCAGCCATATATAACTGTAAATTTAAAAAAATAAATCTTTATATCTCTTTCTACACTAAATTGGCAACGTGTTATCACAGATATTACATTGATGTGATCCATTTTTATTTAAATGCACCCTAATTTTTGTATTAGATCAAATATTTAATATAAGAGTCAATTAACTTCGCAGTTTAAAAAATACTAGCGAGTTTTCTCGAGGTTAAATGGAGGATGCTGAAGCTGGTCAGACAGGTGATGGCGAACATACGCCCGAGGCTGGCAGGTGAACATCGGAGACTGTTTTCCGTCGCGAGCCATGCACGAGCCAAAAACCACGCCTAAGGCCCAAAACTTCGTCTCTTGCATGTTGAGTGACACGCGCCGACAGCTGGCCAACACATCTTATAACGGTTTTGCAATCAAAGAAAACAACACAGATCTAAGACATAGGAAATTTATTATCCGAAAGATTTAATTCTTATAAAATAAAGTTCGATTTTCATAAGAGAACATCACTCGTTATCGAACAAGTTACATGGTCGATAGATCCAAAAACAACTCGTTGTTACATCGATTATCGCAAACGGAAAATGGACTTTTACAACTTAAATAGGACACAAAACCTTTCTATTGCTGTATAGATTCACTAAAATAATAAATTATTCAAAATAATCTTATGAAATTCGCAGAAAAATACTAAGTTTTGACATTCGATGCCAATTTTTTTTGCTTCTTACTGTAGTTTCTAAAAACTCATCTTTATTTCCCTATTCTTATAACGGGTTTCGTGTTTAAAAATCCCTAGGAGGTCCTTAGAGCAGATGGTTGATGTATTTCTTTTAACAAATATCAAAATATAATATCATTTTGTAAAAATTTTACAGGTGCAGAAACGAACATCCTGAAAGATTTTATAGATAAATCACTGCTTATTATACGAGCGCCAGATTTATTTATAATGTGAAAAATGTAATGAATTTAAAATATATTAAAAAAAAAATATTTTATTTTAAAATTATTTTATGCTTTTTAAACTATTCTAGCATATATTTTTTTGTTAAATTTATTTTTATTTAAAAATTTAAGAATGAATTTTAAGCTGAATGCCTCTTAAGCAAGCAAGTTCGCTTGTTACAAGGCTTAATAAAATTTTAAAATAAAAATATATGTATTTTGTAAAATAATTTAAATTTTAGTAAATTAAATCTTCGATTTTCTTAATAAAAAAAGCTCCAAATTTAATTTAATGACGTATAAATTAAATTTTTTGTTCGAAAATGTGGAAAAATGTAACTACTTATGCTACACTTTCTAACAGTTTCATACACGTAAATTCATTTAAAAATAATTTATATTAAAATTATATAAATGAAAATGTTCGAAACTCTATTTTATAAAAATTTTTAATCTAAATATAAATCAATTTATGTTAAAGTTACCGACATTTATATAAAAATGGCGATAAGCTCCATGCAGAAAGAAGGATGATTAAAGTTGATTGATGATGGATAAATTTAATATAACTTTACAAAGTTATACTTATGGCATTATATCTACTTCTTCAGTTGATTTTACGTGTTTAAGAGCTGTAAGTATTTACCAAAATTTTTTTATGATCGCCTTTTACCCTCTCCGAAACAACTACAACATCCACTACGTGTTTCTCATGGTAATTTTAGCATAATGTTATATATGAGATTACAATCTGGACTCTGCCATCACTTCTTTTTTTTTCATTTATACCCCCAAGGTGATGCTTAAATGACCGCAATAAATAAAAATTTCACATATTCTTCGTGATCTCGGCACGTTTAAGTTAAAGTCATAAATGCGAACAATAGAATAAAGCTATAAATGTTGAAGATTTTAGATGATTTTTCTTCCCTTGTGATAAAATATAGTTAGAAAAAGTACAGTAAATTTATCAAACTCTTCGAAAAATTAATTTAATACTTTTATAATCATGTTCTTAGCCCTTAAAGTCATTAGTGTAGGAGTAAGAGTACGAATCAATAGTTGGTTATAGAGGAAACTTGGCTCCAAACAAAAGACTCTAGAGTAATTTTATAGCTTTTTAGGATGTTAAACTTTCTTTATTTTAAGAAGTAATATTATATGTATGAGGAATACACGTAGTGGGTAGAAGAGGAGCTCGAGTATTCGAGTATTTTCATTAAACTACCATGGTTAGCATCACCTGCACGCCTGGGGCTTTCTACAACACCTACTGTGGTCAGACGACGAGGGAAGAGAAACGGAAAAAAATCTCTGTCTACTTTATTTACATTCTTGCATGGACACACACCTGCTGATGACGACACTAAAATAGTTTTTAAGTTCATACACACTCCCAATATGGCCGGATTGATATAAAATCAATGGAAAAAATCCTATTTTCTTTCATGATAATGTGAAAATTTATATATATTTTACTACCTTATATACCTATAATTTAGCTTTAACAATACGAGAAGCATACGAGGGTATGATTTTATTTTATATTCTAAAGCACGTTGCTCGACCAAACCATAATGTTCAAAGACAACTCTTATCCAAGGTCTTGTAAATTGGGTGCGACTGTTTTATGACTACTTTTTTTATTTTGCCCCTTTCGTCTATGTATCTATGGTTACTAGAAAGAGCACAGACGAAATATGTCTACACCCAGGACTGTTGTCTGCTGTGATGACATCTATACCACTTAACGAGAAATTGATGTCGAGATGTGATGTAAATAGTGGTGTTTAAAGATATCTAGTTTCCCAACCCCTTTCTTCAACCCTGAGTAGGTGCGGTATTCGAGATAACACTTTTATAAAGGAAGAAAGAAGTTCTAAGTACCTCTATCTAAAAAACTAACAGGGGTCAATTGAGGATATAAAACTTTATAATGAGGAATTTTTGGTAGAATCTTTATTAATCGTTATATACCATATATTTATATTTGATACAAGGGTATAACAACATTACCATCGCATCCTACTGGTGTTGGTTGACCTGTTATTCTGTTGAAAAACATCCCCATAAGCAAAATGCAATGATTAAATAGGGAAGGAGGGATTTGTAGTATTCTACTGCAGGGTTAAAGGTGATTGACGGTTATGAAGAATCCTTTCTGTACCCCAATACATCTGATAGTCGTGAAAACCCTCGAGGAATCAGCAGTATATATATATATACTCGATGTATAGCTATTAAATTTGAAAGAATTATTTACTTGACTGTCAAAATTCATGAAGATTTACAAATTTAACGTGATGTAGCACAACGTATTGCTTTATGTTAATTTGATTAATTTAAACAATACATTAACAATTATAGTCGTTATAAAGAGTTAATTTTCATGATATTTGATACATTGGAACCATTTTAAAAGGTACAAGCTTTAAACCAGTTGTAAAGAAAACGTCCTTTCCAAACAACAAAAGTCGTTATACCACTTTGGCTCACCTGCTCGGTAGCATGGGCTTGTGACACTTTGCTTCTTCCTTCCTCGCAATACATTCAAAACGAAACTAGAAGAATATTAAATTCATCTCCATCTAGTTTATTTATAATACATATATATGACGCGAATTTTGATCATCCCTCTTCTTGTCCAACTACCAACGAGTAAGATTGATGATAGAAAAGAGTGGTCTAGCAGTGATTGAACTTTCACAAATTTAATAAAATACTTCGAATATTTTTTATGTACCAAATAATTTACGAGTTTCAAAAAAACAGGAAAAGAAAATAACGAGCCGATTTTAGAGTTTAACCCCTCCACCCTAAAGCCTCAAAATGGAGTCACACGCATCTAAAAATTCCTTCCATCTACAGTAGAAACTAACTAAATTCCAACTCGTATGTCGATACTTAGAGACTAATCAATTAACTACTTATCTTGTTCGATAGTCTACAATTTTAACGAACAACGAGGAAGGGTTTGGTGTTTTTTTGAACTTGAAATCTGTAAGAGGCACAATAATTTCAATAGTGTTACCTTCGGACTTCCGTGTTGAAATTCTTTCCCTTCTGGGCAATGCTAGAATTATTCTTTATGTTCTGTACAGCAGAAGAGACCGGTCGAATGTACTTAATACATTACAGTACCCCCTCGCTAACTAGGTGTGTGGCATAGACTAGAATCACGTATGCTTTCTGTGATTATTATAAGTAATGTATACAGAAAACTCGTAAAAACTATAATAATATCTAATTATTATTCTATTGAAGTATTCAGGAAGCTTATAATTTCCATAATATAATAAGAGTTTAAGCATTTTTCTTACTAGTTAGAACCATTTTTATGTTAAACTAGAGATTAAAAGGGATTATTTTCACACTTCGACGATTAAAAGTTGCATATTTTTTAATTTGGCGCTTTTATAAACATTAAAAAACGCAAAGTAAATTTATAGAGAGTCGTTATATCGCTAAGAAGAGAATTATAAATTGTCTGGTCGCATCAAAAGGTTAAGTACATTCACCTATACTTGTACAGTACACATACCCTTATGTGCGGGTGATAATTTGTTATTTATTCAAAAAAATAAATGTCTAACATTTATATATATATGTTAGACATAATATATTATGATAATAAGTATAAAAATTTAATTTAGAAGTATAAAAGTTGTTAAAATTGAGAAAAATTGCCATCGAAATCACTTCGTGTATCAAATACAGATCTATAAGTCAGTGTGATGTGCCACACCTTGTATAAGTCTTTATCGTGACCTAAA